GAACAGCTAAGGTCTGTGGTCGGGCTGCAGAGTAACTTGAATACATTTCTCTTCCAATTTTTCAGAGAATTTAAGTCGCAATTTAAGCTACAGGGTCTGAACATTTTTAGGGAAAATATTCATATTTTTCCTCCAAAATGAATGTTTCACAAGAGAAAATTTGGCAACGCGCGGATATTCATACGGCGTTTAGTTTGAGAAAAGAAAAAAAATTAAAAACTCCGAAAAAAGCTGTTCAAGACTACTTAGCCGGAGGTATTGGTTTTTGAACAAAAATATTTTAAATCAGACGAAGTCCATACATTTTTGGTGTTGCATCTAAACTACTGAAGGTGATTCATGCAAAAAAAATGTGAAAAAAAGAAAAAAAAAGAAGAATAATAATAACTAAAAACTCCGGAACAAGCTATTTCAAGCCGCTTAACCGGAGATATTGGTCTTTGGATAAACATTTATATTAAATCAGACGAAATCCGTACAGTTTTAGTGTAGCGTATAAACTATAATGAGGATGATTCATGCAAAAAAATAAAAATACACCTGAAAAAGCACCGGAAATATAGGTTTTTGCAAGGTCTGCGGTATAACAATAATGACAGATGGAAAAACAAATTAGTAGATGTGTGAGAGACACAAAAGAAGGCTCTACGGGCTTCAACGTTCCAAGAGATGACGCAGCTCTACCACTGATATAAACAATATACAGAGTGCGAAGTGGTTTATGTAAGGGTAAGAAGATTACCTACTGTCCAAGAGTGGGATGTGATACAGGGTGCCTTCAAAGTAAAAGTCTAGGCTTCAGATATTGAGTTTGAAGTCAAAATAACACTCATTGGCCAATGCAATAATTTTCTTTGGTGGAATTACGTTGGATTGCATTGAGTTGGGTTGGGTTGAGTTGAGTTAGATCAGGGTAAATTACGATAGGTTTGGTTGGTTCAATTCCCAGAAACCTCTTCTCCTCTTCAATTTGTAAATTGTTCTGTTACCAAACTTATTAGCAGGTGTTAATCGAATTGTAATCCTGCCGTGCTAAGGAAAAACGCCGTATGAACCTCCAGGTGTTGCCAAATTTTCTTTGATAAAACACGAACTTCCTGGTAAACATTTGAATATTTTCCTTCCAATTTTTCAGATAATGCTGTTCTCCAATTCACCTAAAGTCCCTGAAAATTTCAAGGAAAAATATTCGTATCTTTCCTTAAAAAAATGCATTTTATTGAAAGAAATGTGGCAACTCTCGAATGTTCATACGGCGTTCTTCCTTAGCATCTTGCTCATGATTAGAAGACAAAATAATTTATATGCTCATTTTTTTTTATTATTCAGTCAAAAACTGTCGACAAAATTAAAGATTTGAAAAATCGATGAATTTTTTTGTGCTCGACAAAACAAAAGCTCTCGCAAAAAATCATGGGAATGGTCTTACTTCGACCTAAAAGTAGTGCAGTAAAAGAGTTTTAATTTTCGGGACACCCTGTACATGGGATGTGATGTAAGTGCTCCCGTGTGAAATTCTCCTCGGCGAAAACCGGAAATGGAAATGCACGACAATTGAAGTGAGAGCCATTGAGTTCTCATTGAAAATAAGAGGACTGCCAAGTTGAGTGTATTTGAGCGAGAGCGTGTGGGAACGCAAAGTAAGAACGTGAGAATCTGACAAGCTGGCTGGTGTTTTGGCAATGAATAAATGAGGAGAGCGGAGGCGTTTGGCGGACGGGGAAAGTTCACGTGTTGGAGTGGAAAAGAGCTTGTTGCTTCAAGCTCCACGTCCAAGTCTTCGCAGTCGAGAAACGCTTCAACTGCATCACGTGTTGAGTGGCTTCAACCCCGACACCACGTTGTTTCGTTCCGTCCAATGTCCGCATTTCTCCGAGCAATTGTCGAGCAATGAAAGGATCTAAATACGGGATCTGACCCTCCCATATCGGCACCTTTCGACCAAAGTATCACAAGCACCCGGCGAAGTCTCAAAATTTCCGCCGCCATTTTATTTTTTTACAGAGAAATGGTCGGTTGAATCTATTCGAAAATTTCACTGAATTTCATCGGAAAATTCAGTAAAATTTTCAGTCAGCATCGTTGAACAGTTTCTCTGTAAAAAAAAATGAAATGGCGGCGGAAATTTTGATACGTCGCAAGACACTTGTGATACTTTGACCGGAAGAAGACGACATTCACTTCAATAAAAACCGAATGTAGTGAGAAAATTGTATATATTTTTCTTCAAATTTGTCTTGCAATTTTGTTCGCAAAATATCTAATTTCAGAGAAAAATATGCATAGCTTTCATTTTAAAATAAACATTTTATCGAAGGATACTTGGCAACTCTCAAATATTCCGCTCTGAGCGCTCCGTTTTTCTGTCTTCTTTATCTAAAGCTTTGTCTGTAAATATCAACAATCAGGCCATAGGGGACTAAGCCCTCCACGCTTTCGTTTCACGGCGAATCAAACTGCCCTATGCAAAACTTCCATTAACACTGGACACCCAACAATTCTCGCGATTCCCTTGAGCGCCCTGAGCGACTGCTGCTGTTCAAAACTCCTTCAGTTTGGAGAGTATGCAATTTGCTCTCCGGAGAGTTAAAATAGTTGCTTGTCGCCTTTTAATGCTTTTGATCGGGTGTAAATGAAGGAGTCAGTCGATAGCATGCTGAGCGACCTTTCTTTTACATTTAAACGCACAGTGCGCTCAGCTCGCTGTCAAGAAATGAAGGTCGAGAAAAAATATTTCTAAATTGCGAAAATATGAGTCCATCTCTAGCGTTAGGTCTTGTTGAGGAGTTAGTTTTTTCCCTTTTTTCTTTTATCTTTTTTTTATTCGCGCAAACTAAGCGGTACCAAAGTACACTTTTAGACATCTACATGCATTTGGAAAGCTTAATTAATCTGTTTAAATATAAAACTTTACTATTGTTACAGTTTTAAAACCAATGAATTATTACCTCTAAGTATTGAGGAGAAAAAAAAAAGACACAATTACTGCTCGATAAAAATGCCTCGATGTTTTATTTTCGAGGAATTATTACACCTTCTAACCTTCAGTCTCCCTTCGATCTTCATGTGACATAAATTCGTTGTGTAGAAAACTCGACCCAAACGCTGAACAAGTTGCCTATCAATCGGACGTATTTCTGCCAAACGGAACTATGTGCATTAAGACATGAGCCCTGAGACTCATAAGAATATATGCGTAACAAGGCTTATGTCATAATGCACATAGTTCCGTTTCATAGAAATACGTCGAATCATCATGAGGCGAAGATAGTGTCGATAATGTTTGACTTCCACCTCTCCCGATAATATTGCCAGGATTAAGAATACGGGTTTTGATGTCCCTGCCGTAAATTGTCTCTGGGCGAGTCACAGTGAGGTTCTACACCTAATCGAACTTGAGCTTGGTCTTCTGCGTGCCATCCTCATGGAAATTCGCCGGACAGAGCCAGTGCTCGTAGCCAGGCTTCAAGCGCGACCAGTCGGCGTCGAGCATATCATAGCAAGCATACTAGCACTTCATACTACCACACTCTGCATTGATTATTCTCATTTAAATTGATGGTAAATAAATATGTATTAATTTATCAAAGGAGAATAATAATATAATGTGTGTTTCTTAAATATTGGTGGTTCCGTGTCAAATTTAATGATTTCCAAAGCACTTTAATTTTTCCTTTTACATTTTGTGCTTTTATTGTGCTGCAGCGAGGTGTACGTGTAACAAAACGCTCAAAATTTGACGTATTTGACTCTAAAAGATCGATGTACAAATGGGTTAAAACTAAAGATTGCGTGCTCATTGGTTTTTTTCCTCTTTTATTCATGTTTGCAGTTTCTGTCGGCACAACTGCGGCTCACTGAGATTAATGTCGCTTGGAGAAGGTTTTACAAATATTTGCCACGTTTTAAAAATATACATGTTTTCAAAATGAAGTAATAATATCGTAAAGAAAAAATAAAAAAGTACCTATACATATATAAGATATATTGTACATTCAATATTTTAAGGATGGAAATAAAACCAAATATTCACCAATGACAATTTAAAAAGATGATTCAAAAGGAGAAAGTAATAACATTTCATTTAGAAAATGAGCAACCATAACAACACCTCCTTCTCTCTCAATTTCTCATTTCCATGTTGCGAATATAATTTAACATACCGACTAAAATATAACGCTTGGACCAAGTCACTGTTGCTTATTTTACGTGTGGGCGTAAACTACTGGACAAAAAAGGTGCGCGGACAAAAAATCGTTGACAAAATGTCCTGAAACCTGAAAAATCAGGAAAATTTGCATCCAAAGCTTGGATTTTATTGCTTTGTCAAAACGACTGCATGCCTCGAGTGATGAGTAAACATTTCAGATGGCGCCACTGTGGATCGAGTAAATTAGAGAGGTCGGACATACAATTTTTTACTAAAACTGCAAATTTTGATGTTTATTTCGTCTTATTTTAAATCGAAAGAGGTCCTTCTTATAGAAAATTTCACGAGGAAACCAATGGAATCACTTTTAAATTTTCAAAGTTTTGATTTAACGAAGTTATAAGCTTTTAAAGTTTCCAAATTTTGCCCGACCTCTCCCATTGACTCGTCCGACTGTGTGGCGGGGCTTGAATTTCGTCCGGATTATGTCTCGTAAAAAGCATTATCACGTTGAACGTCTTCAAAAAGTCAGAAGAAGATTTTGAAACATCGCGTTCGAGTTACCGTGGGTTGTGCATCTCACTGTTAATAAGTGCTGTGATATTCACGAAGCAGATGGTTTCGACGGAGAGGAAAATCATTCCCAGAGGAACCATGACTGATGTAATGCTGCACTTAAGGAAAGCAGATTCGGAGGGGAGCTGTTCCTGAAATTCCTGATTTTTTTTTTTTTCATTCGGTTTATTAGCAAAACTGCCATAAAATAACGGCGCGGCATGCCGATAAGATTCAACTTATGATTCGAGGGGTAACTGTGCAGGGCTCATTCATTAATCAGAAAGAATGAATGTCAATGATTTGATGACGAAATATATTAAAATCTGTTTTACAAAGCATGGACACAGCATTACAGGTTATAGATACAACTTAAAATTTACATAGAGTTTCATTGAGACGCGGTCCGATTTGACGTATTTAAATCAAAGGGAACTATACTTTATCCATTCCGACTTAAGTCCTTTAATCCAAAAGAATACATGCATTGCAGGGCTCAAGTCAATGTGGATATGATTCCTCTCAATAAAAATGCGTCCAATTCATCTGTAACCAATCTATGCGTAAAAAGTGTTAAAAATACTCCCAATCATTCATAATTTGGTGCGAATTTCGGAGGTTAACTTATGCCTTGCCCACACTTACATCTCTTGAATTGAGAATGTGGGAGCTCTACAATAAATTGTCTTCAAAAGGCTGATTACTGAAATTGATAGACAAAGCTGTAGAAAAAGAGGATAAAGGGGAAATGGAGCGATCCAATTGGACGTATTCCTGCCAAACGGAACTATATGCATTAAGACATGAGCCCTGAGACCCATGAGAATACATGCATTACAGGGCTCACGTCACAATGCACATAGTTCCTTTTGATAGAAATACGTCTAATTAATGGGTTGAAACTGGTAATTCTGATAAGCTATAGAGGAAAAATTGAATAATCATAGGGTCTCTCGTGGGTTGCCATTAGCTAGTCTATTGATTGCCTCCCTTGGCCATTGCGACCACTTGCTTCCTCCAAAAGGCTATACATTTTCGCTTCGTATTCTGCGTCTGAGGCTTTGTCTATGAATTCCAATCATAAGAGTAAGAAGTGGGAGTCACAGAAATGAGCTACACGGAATCGAAGGTGAGCTTGGTCTTCTGCGTGCCGTCCGCGTCGAAATTATCCGGATGGAGCCAGCGCTCGTAGCCAGGTTTCAAGCGCGGCCAATCGGCGTCGAGCATGGCGAACCAGGCAGTATCCCGGTTCTCACCCTTGATGACCATGTGCTGACGGAAGACGCCCTCGTGAGCGAAGCCGAAGCGTGCGGCCGCCCGCCGGGAGGGCTCGTTGCGGTTGTCGCACTTCCACTCGAAGCGGCGGTAGCCGAGCGTGTCGAAGACGTAGCTGGCCAAGAGGTAGATGGCCTCGGTGGTGACTCGACTGCGGGCGATGGCCGGGCCCCACAGGATGTGCCCGACCTCGATGACGCCGTGGGCGGGGTCGATGCGCATCAGGGCTTGGCGGCCCTCGGCGCGGTTCGTGCGCCGGTCGATCGTCGCGAAGAAAAGCGGGTCCGAGCTGGAGGCGCAGGTCTCGAGGCAGGCGCTGAAGGCGGCGCGATCGGCCGGCGGGTTATCGGGGAGGTAGCGGAAGCGGTCCTCCGCGCCGGGCGCCACGGCCGCGGTGAAGAGGTCGTCGCCGTAACGCCCCGGGTCCAGGGGCTCGAGCCGCGCGTAGCGGCCCTCCAGGGTGATGCGCTCCGGCCGGGGCACGCCCTTCCAGGAGCTCAGATCCATGTCCTTCTCAATGTTTTTGGTCCGGTGGAACGAATGCTTGGTGCGAGGAAAACCTCCGGGTGTATAAAATTCCTCCCCTGTGCCTTGAATAAGACTCGGAAGTAAACGCGAAGGCTGCCGCTCTTTTTGAGGTTACGGGACCGTCGGTAGATAACCGTCTCGCGGTTATTTTATGTTCGGCAGAACGCTTCGAAAACCTGGAAAATAGAGTAAAAACATACGCTATGAAGTTTTACGTGAGAATATTTTACCGTCCTCGGAAAAGAGGCCAACGATCATAAAAAGCCCAAATTGGACGTATAATTATAGTAAAAATAACTATGTGGAAATAAAGTTGATCAAAAGGAGGTACGCTTCAAATCCTACGCGTGCAGTCTCTTTTGATTTATATCATGTGAACATAGTGCCTTTCGGCATAGATATGCTTACCCGGATGATAGAAATCAAAGTATAGAGGAGGATTCTATACGAGCATTTTTGTACCGAAATCTACTTTATTTTTCTGACAGCTATAAATAGTTAAATTGAGTTAAGGTAGACACAAAGAAAAATACGATTATGTATGTTCACGGGAATAGGGATTCCAGGACTATTCGGAAAAATTTTCAACAGAGAGATTTTTGTCGAGTTAGGTCAAAAAATCGATTTTAGGATTTTGACGGAAACCCTTAAAACGACGTTTTTTTTAGGTGGAATCATCAATCCGCCATAGTTTATTAATTTCGTTGCTACTGCTAAGAGACTTTCGTGTTATGTTTGTAGGACACTGGGAGGAAATTTATGATTGCAGCGGACAATAAGTATTATTAATAATTTCTTATATCAAATCATAACGAAATTACATGATTCACGATAAACGCACCTCATACCTTCAGTAGTAACTTTATAAAAAAAACAGAACCTGTGCCTCGCTATTTCATCACGCATGATGTGTTGCTTATCGGTATATTGAAGGATAAATTTACGGTTACAATCCCAACACACTATCATGCTCTATCGTTCCTGATACCAACAACGCCATTGTGAGTTTATATGATCTTAAGTCCTTTCATCTTTGATGGTCAAAAGTAAGGAAATACCAATTGAAATACTTATGTGAGCGGCAACGAAACGTTAAATGATCGTGATAGCCTTCAAAAAGTATAGAAAGGAACGTAAACTCAAACCCACCAGCAATTTACCAACTTTTGAATAAAAGCTCGCGATCAGTGCAGAATGTCGGGATACGTAATAGGGAATCATCGTATAAAACTCGGCGTGCAAAACTGCACCAGTATTACGTCACCTTATCACAAAATTAAATGGAGCTTTGAGAAAACCAGATGTGCCCAACATTACGTCACACTCAACATTCAACAAGTACATTCTACTGTGAAACTCGTTTACAAATCGAAAGAGCAATAACAACTATGACTTGTCTCATGAATTGCTGACCAAAAGCGAACGATGAATTCGGCAATATAAGAGATATTGATAAAACGACGAAATTAAAAAGAACGAAAACAAATTATATATTGAATACTTCAGCGATTCAGATCACACGGTGATGATAAGTTGCCCCTTAGTTCATTAGTTCGTTGTCGACCTGCTAACACTTTATGCTCGAGAATTCTTTATGAGTAGTAATAATATTCACAGTGCCAGTGCGTAGGATTGCTAATTCAAACTTACCCGAAAGTTTGACTAAGTGCAAAAGCGGGAGAGATAACAATAACGTTGTAGTGATAACAATTACGCTAAAACGGTTTCAGCTTCGTATACAGCGATCATCGCCACGGGCGCCACGCCTCCGAATAAAAATAGATACTTCATCCTCCGACAGAGTGCATCACTTGCTTTTGTTGATTACGGTTTCTTATGAGGCGGGAAGTTTGAACCGAGCGATTTCAAAGGAAGCAAGAAATGCGTGTATCTTATACACGAGTTACTTTTTGTTAAATGAAATCAGTGCTTTTTACAATAATTTTTGTCGAGAAAATATTTGGAAAAAGGGACTAAGCCAAGAACTACTAATTTTTAGGAGAGATAATCAGCTGCGCAGCCTTCACAAAAAGCATCGCCATAATGTACTAGATCCTCAATGGAATCAAAGAGAGGGTCCAAAAATTATTTCTGAGATACCTCAATATGGCTGTTCAAAAAAATGGATTTGTGATTTTTTCAGATTGGTCGTTATTCTGTTAAGTTTTGACGACAGTAATGCAACCCCCCCCCCCCTTCAACTCATAGTTTAAGGTATTGAGCAGTTACTGAGAAAGATGAAAAAAAAAGAAGAAAAAAATCAGTTTTTAGCTCATATTGAAACATGCAATATTCTCGGAATATTGGCGGGAAAATGGAAACCTTAATAAGCACGAACGCTTTTGAACAGTCCAATTTTTCCCGAACTTTCGTCAGCCGTTGAGGCGAAGTGCGCAACTTCTGGGGTGCATGTTCCTACTCCTTTACGAGTGTACTACCAAATACCTCAAAATCGAAAAAATGCGCAAATATCCTTTTCCCATGCGCCGCTCCATGGATCCTGCGTTGAATTTATTCTTACCCTCATTCTGCACAATTTTTATGCTATTAGCCAGCTCGTCGATGTACACTGTTTATTTTCCCTTCTTGGTCTTCTCCTTCTCCTTCACGCGAAGGGAAAACGAGACGCCATCCCATCCCATCACGCACACGTTGGAGTAAACCGGATAAAGCGAGAAACCGTCACGTAATTAGAGGATGCTCGCAGGTCGATCAAGACGTAGTCACTTAACCTATTAGCGGCGTTGCCAAATTGCAGCAGCCCCTATTCCCTCACAGTGTGTCGACAAAAAATACCCGATTTCCGGCAACTTTCCCGGCGGATCGGTAAATAAGCAGAAGCGGCGGCGGGAGAATAACAATGGGCGGGAAACTGCCCCCCTCTCCCCCCGCCCCCTTCACCCCTGGCTGGGTGGCTACAACCCGTGCTGCGGAGCATTATTTTAACTGACGTAGCGAGCCGAGCTTGAAAGGGGTGAGGTTTCCTTCGAGAAAGCTTCGAGTGTAGGAATGGAGGGTGGGTCATGGAGACCGCAAGGGGGGGGGGGCAAGTAGGGGGGGGGCTGGATGGAGCCACAAGTTTAACCCAGTTTTCACTCTTTGTTCAAGATCAAGGCCACCCGTCATTCGGCCCCCTCCACGCACCGCACCGCATTACACCGTTGTCTGATTGAGTTGTCGGCTTTGGAAACGACTAAAGACTACATACTTACTAAAGGACCCAGCGCTAAGAGCCCGAGCAATGTAATCGAGAGAGGCAAAAGTTCAAGTCGGAGTTCCACGCTATTTTTCGCCTAATGATGGTCGACGTGAGACCTGTTGAGCAAAGAATCAAATAAAATTCGCCTAGTGTTGACTGATGTTTATCCGACGGAACAGATTTAACGAGCTAGTTTGATGAGACGGCATGGTTTGAGAAACCACGACGAGGAGTTGGCCCGTCTAGACCGGGCTTGAGGAGCCCCTGCAATGCATGCTTCCTGACTTCAAACGCATGTATTTGTGCTAAAAGAAACTATGTTACGCGCAAATCCTATGCACATAGTTCCTTTTAGCATAAATACGTCCAAACGGCTTTTCCAGCCTTGACTCTTGTGGTTGGTTACCGTGCAGTTTATACTGCGTCTGTAAGATATAGTTTTCCGCAATTGCGTCCCTCACAGACTCAACGATTCAAAGGATTTATTTATCAAACTTCTTTTGCATGAGCACGTGGGCTGTTGCGCTTTTGTTTAATTCGGAGAGATAAGGATGATTGATCTCAATTAAATCGGTCTCTGATAGAAAACCACAGTTAACAGGAGACGCAAAAAACTGATTTTCTCGTCAGACAGGACGACTTCAAATCTGGAGTGTTCAAAGGATGGGCCAACATCAGTTTCGAATTTCTGAAATGATTTTTTTGGTGGAAAATTTGTTTGTTAGGTACTCAGTAACGGTCGAGGCTGATTTTGAATTATGGACATGACGCCCTTTTTCAAGATAGTGAAGAAAAATTAAGTCATTTGTACGCAAAAAAAATAGATCGGAAAAGAGTTTTGAAAGTTTAATCAATCAGTTTCGTTATTTAAGGAGGGAATACCGATATAACTTTTAGATAAAGACAAAGATTTACGGGCATTATTTTTCATAATTAAAAAAAAAAAGTCAGAAAACTGTAAGTACCCTTCAAAAGAGCAGATATTCATAAAACAAGAATCGGATGATTTCGAACTTACGCTCTTCTAAAAGAAATCGATTTAATTTAAATCCACGCTTCATCATGTTTAGGCGCTTGTGGAAATGACGAATTAAGAGCTACAAAGTCAGCAGAGAAATATTCATGGCAAGAATTTTCCATGAAGCATACGGTCGATGGAATTCTGAGTCAGGAGGAAAAAAATTGCAAGTCATTAAAGAACTTGTGCGTTGCGGTTGGTCCCCCCCCACCGCATCTCCTAAATCTCCCCTTTCGCTGATACGAGTTCTCGCGAAGCGGATAAAATTGATAGTTAGTGCTCTGTCTTCTTAATCACGCCTCGATTCCCGAGCAAGTAAGTAGCCCAAAACCGAATCGTTTAGTTATACTGCCGAGCAAAGGAAAAACGCCGTATGAACCTTCAGGCGTTGCCAAAGCTCCTTTCATAAAACGCGAATTTCCTGGTGAATATATGAATATTTCCCTCCCAATTTTTCAGATAATTTTGTTCACAATTTTACCTAAAGATTCTGAGAATTTAAAGGAAATATGTTCATAACTTTCCTCGAAAATGAACATTTTATAAAAAAAAAATTTGGCAACTCTCGAATGTGTATACGGCGTTCTTCCTTAGCACGGCAGTATACGGATGGACTCCATCCAGCTGTCTTTAACTCTCTTTCCCAAATCCTCAAGTGCTCGGCTTGAGCCAGACAAATGGAGGCATTTAAACGAAAGAGGTCCGTCCGCCTCGGAAGTATTGGGGAAAAAGACGCCCACAGAATAGTTAAGGACTCCTAACGTATGGACCATGTTTTGTAAGGAAGAGCTAATATTTTAGGCTTATTTTAGAACCAACGTATACGCTATTAATGTTCCTGCGTCGCATGCAATTCGCAAGCGGTGTCCATGCTGCGTCATCAAATTGCAATAATTCGCAACGGCAAGATAAAGGTTCCATTGGTAAAAAGCTTCAGGAGCACGATCTCGGCTCCAAGCGCCTTCAATATCTCGAGATGCTCTCCACATTGCCGCTAAGTTAGTTTAGTTGTCGATCCTTACCAAACCTAACTACCTGAGGTCACTGATTTAACTACACGCGCACGCGCACGCGCAAACGTGCTGACTAGCACCACGTGTTCAGGAGGAAAAAAAGTTTATTTCAATTCCATGATAATCTGTGCTTCCTATTTTTCTCCCTTAATTTCTAAATGTTTACATTTGTCCATTTATCACTCATAAATTGCAAATTGCCTGCGAAATTCCTGTCAGTACAGATACTCCTTCTTACAATTCTTTTCTTTCTTCTTCTTTGTCGGTGATTAGTATTTCAATTATCAGAATGTTCGGATTAAAAGAGGTGTCATGGCAAAACTTGCGCTTGTGGAAAAAATCTGATACAACCCCCCACCCACCCACCCACCCACCAGAAGACGTTCCACAATTGTTTATTTCATACGTCTTACGCCGTTTTATCAATTACTTCTACATTCAGACTATGTCCATCCAGTTTAAGGATCGATGAACGTTTGGCAACAGAGGCTGAAGCAAAATGATTTTGAATTTTTTCCTATTATTTTTGCTTTCTGTTCTGGAAAAGTTCACGGCGGAAAAGTTGAGAGCGGGTTTACATGAGAATGCGTCACATTTACCTAATGCAACAATAAAGCGAAGAATTTTGCGGTTTCAACTTTCCTCGAAAGTTGAAGGGAGTTTCAAGCTTTCCATGTCAGCTTCATATCAAAGTGGATGCCGACGGTAAAGTTTTTAAGACTGTCACGGACACTAAGTGAACGAGACCGGTTTGAGTCGGATCTCGTGGAGCGCGGTATTTTTCATTAAAGTGAAAAGCACCTCAACCAAGATGAAAATTCTTTGATTAGAAATTAATCAATTTGACTTTTCCATTAAACAAATAAGAAAAAGTATTAAAAGGGTGAATTACTGCTCCCATGGATGTCCAACTTCTTCCGCGGGAGCATCAACGTCCCCCCGGTAATTTAACCGTTTTCAAAGCATCAAATATGAGTCGGGACAGGAATCACTAGGGTGCGAAATGAAAGTCTGGAATGTCACTGTCCCCAGGCGGTAATCCATGTCACTGGGTTTTCGCAAAAATTTGGATCTAATTCATCCATTTTTATTAGCGCCAAAGGTTAGTTTTATGATGGAATTAGCAGGCTGTCTACTAAAAAAGGCTGGCCAAAAATCAGTAGTTTTGCATTACATTTTCAGTACATTCCCAAGAAATTCAGTACTTTCTTAACAGAAAAGTTCGGTAATTTTTCAGTATCTCCAATTGACGAAATTCGAAGAATTTCAAAGATTTGAATTTCTCGCTTGAAATGCGACAAAAATGATTAAAAATTTAAAAAATTCCGGGCCTTCTTGCGGAATTTCCACACATTTTCATTACTTCCGGGGACCGCCCTTAGAAAATCAGTACGATTTCCGGACTTCCGGAAATTTCGGACTTGTATAGACACTCTGAATTATAATATTTAGATTTATGCCTCAATTTCGTTAAAAATTTCAGAACAGAGCCTACAGCAGAACAGTTGAATGAATGCATAATTGTGATATCTTAACAATGTTGATATGGGTATGTGCTGTTTGGTCGAAAAGGTCCTCAAACATTCTCGGATAGATGATCGTGCATGTTGTAAAAGGGGGTTAAGAACGTTGAACTAATCAATGGCGGAAAATGAATTGTGCATGACTCTCAAAGGCAACGGTAGTTAACGGAGTTGTCAAATTTTGGTGTGCAGCTGAGCATTAGGCAAAACTTGACGACTCCATCTATTACCATTGTCGCATTTTTAACCCTTTATTGATTGAGCTGCTTTACAGCTTTTAAATAAAATAAGCGGGATTGAACAGAATAATGAATTTGGGTGTCTCACGTAATTAATTTTATTTCTGTGTATTAAAAATATTAAGTATAAAATTCTTACACAATACTTATAAATGTTTGTCTGGTGAGCTCAGCTTTTCATTCTTAAATTTCTAACTTATGGTCGTATTCAATATCCATTGCCGTTCCTTTAGCAGTTCCTTATCTTAGAAGGCCCCAGATGGTTAAGATAGTGATTATGGGAGGTTTAAGAAGATCCTGCTTAACATATTACATATCAGCATAAAATGAACAATTTCTACGCATCTCGAGTAAAGTTCAACAGTAAAACTATAGAAAAAGACCCTTACGAGAGATTAGAATGATTTGCCACTGCAACATATAGAAAAATACGAAATAGAAAATTCTACGAGTTTGGCAAATGTCAAGAGCCTGCCTTAGAATTTCCGAACCGGCAAAAATTTCCTTCTGTATTTTGATTTTTTTTGGAGGCAAATCGGAATTATCACTCGCGAGGGTATTTTTCTAAAAGTACACTGTGAAATTTTTTGTCTAGATGGTGATCATGGTCTTTTTATGAAGATACGCTCAGAGTTTCCTCCAATTTCTCATGATCACCATGTGAAGCAACAACCACGAAGCACAAAGGGCTTCCTAGGGCAAGGCGCTGTGTGGAACGAATATGAAATTGGACGTAATTCTATCAAACGGAACTAAGCGCCATAGGGGGAGGAAGGGAGAATGGGGCTTGGATTGACGGGTGTTGAGGAACGCGATGCTCGTTCCGTCCTATACTCGCAATCCTTGTCCATGGCGCTTAGTTCCAGTTGATAGAACGCGCTATGCGGGATTCTAAAATCCTCAAAAGGAACTCAATTTGGCGCTTAGTTCCGTTGAATAGATATGCGGCAATTTGATTCTTAGCCCCACAACCAAACCACGAATTTTCCATCATGAAACCTCATTGTAGAAATTAAACTTCCTGAGCTCCCTTGAGAGGCTTCTGCCATTAGTTGTTCATAGCCTCTACAACGGAAGCCAGCTCCACATTGCCACCCGTCCAAACGACTCCAACCCGCACTTCAACAACGCCGTCCCCTCGGAGTTCCGCAACCCGGCGCACATGTTGAGCAAAGCGCGGGCTGTTCAAAACCACGGCGAGACCCACGGCCGCACTCGGCTCGATGAGCTGCTTCATCCGCTCCCAGACGAGACGCGTCGCCGCCAGGATCTCCCCCTCGCTCGCCGTCAACACGTCGCCGACGTGCGCCTGCAGATGGGCCAGCGTCAGCGGCGACAGGGCCGTCAAGAGACCGTCGCAGATCGTCCTCGGGGGCGTCACAGCCGGCTGGAGCACGCCGCTCTCGAAAGACCGCGCCGCATCGTCCGCCATCTCAGGCTCCGCCCCGATGACCAATATCCGCGGGTCCACGCCTTTGACCGCCGCCGACACGCCCGACAGCATGCCGCCCCCGCCCACCGGCGCCACGACCATGTCCAGCACCGGCTCGTCGTCGCCTCTCGCTCCCAAGGTCACCGCCTGCTCGAGCATTTCCAGTCCGAGCGTGCCCTGTCCGGCGATGACGAGATCATCGTCGTAGGGGTGGACGAACTTGACGACGTGGCCTTGGGCTTGGAGCTCCTGGATGAGGCGGTCGGCGGCGGCCTCGCGCGCGGCCTGCGTGGGCTCGCAGTCGACGATGCGCGCCCCGTAGTCGGCGACGGCGGCCTTCTTGATGGGGGGCGCGGTGCGGGGCATGACGACGGCGGCGCGGGCGCCCACGGCCCGGGCGGCCGAGGCCACGGCCGCCGCGTGGTTCCCGCTCGAGTGCGTCACCGCCCAGAGGGTCCCGGAGGCGGCGGCGCCGGCCAGGTGGGTCCGCACCGCGTTCGTCGCGCCGCGCATCTTGAAGGCGCCCACGCGCTGGAGGTGCTCGCTCTTGAACGCCAGGCGAACGCGGATGTGCGGGGCGCCCACTGCTCGAGTCGCGAGGGCGTCCAGAGTGCCCGAGGTCAGGAGGGGCGTCCGGTGCACGAAGGGCTTGATGCGTTCGTGGGCGTCCTGGATGTCGCTCAAAGTCACCAACGCCCGGTTAGTCGCTGCTTTGTCGCCGGTCAGTGACATTGTCGCGGGTTTTGAATGAACTGAAGAAGACAGAGCTATCGCAATAGCCACACCGAGGTCTTGGCCAAGATTTTAAGCTGAAATTGGAATCAAATAGGAAAATAATTAAACTTTTTTTCTGGATAGATGAGCAAAAAGAGAGAGAAAACTCGTTTTATAGAGCTTTAAGATGCAGCAATGACTTGAGAGTAATATTAGAAGCTGGTAAAAAATCAACGCTCGCGATATATTGTGACGAGATTTTGCCGCCTGGCTAAATGTTCTCTGGCTAAATGTTCACTTAAAGAAAAAAACGCTCGTAACGGCGACTGCAGTACATACGATGTTATGACAACAATGCTCTCGGGAAAAAAAAACTTTTTAGGAAAGAATGGTAGTCTGCTATCAACAGTTCAAATGAAGGCCGGATAAATTTGAACCTTATAAAACTTTGGGGGGCCTTCAATTAAAGTATTTGCCAAAAAAAAAACGATATTCTTTTTAACGACATAGAACACATTTTAGGTTTCTTTTTCTTATTTATTTATTATTTTTTTAACCTAACCTAACCTTTCACCCAAGAACGCTTCAAAAGTTAAGCTATTCTTTTCACCTTCTCCAAAACATGGAATTCTAAGAGCTAAAAAATGCCTCCTTACTAGAAATTCAAAAAAACCGCGCCCTATTTGCAGCGTTGAAAGGAAGATGGATTTTCGCTGATTTTCGTCCCTAAACGTAGTATCCACGTCTGGTGAACTTGTCGCAAGCTACCTATCCTATTTACTTAGATGAAAAACAAAACAACTAACCTCAAATGTTCTCTCTCATCGATGATAGCAACAAAACGCATTCCGAGAAAGCGAAATCATTCCATAAAATGAAAACAAAACGGACATATAAAACTTTTAATTTACGCACAGGGAGTTTTTAAAGTCTGAGAGTCGCTGAAAGAACTCAAACAAAAAACACTTGGACTCAGTCTCACGGTGCACTTCCTGAATGTGTTTTCATATGTATTCTCGAGTACCTACCGAGCAAGCGTGTGTTCATTGGGCGTTCCCAAACTTGCGATCTTAGCAATTAAGTGTGCCGCCATCTTGAATGGAATCGCGCATGGAGCGCACCGGGTGGCTGCTTGCAGAACTACCTTAAATACAGCAGATGGTATTTAACTAGCGTCCGAACGGATCCAGATGATATCGGAGATGCCCGAAGACTTATCACCACTCGAATATTTACCACTTCCAAAAGACTTCTACATTTTACACTCCCTTTTCAACGCTTACAAGTTGCTGTACTCCTTTTTTCCCCGACTCATCTTTTCTTTTTAACTCTAAAGCTTACAAAAAATTTCGCGCACTTTTTCGATATAATACCGACCTAATATTCTTAATTTTTGAATTTTTCAGGACTTACAAATCCTTAATTCGCCCTCCTCCCTTTTTGCTTTCAAGATGATCCGGGTTGCTTCAAATAATTTCCAGCAATTTTCCCAACTTCAGTCGAGCTAAGTAGGGAGACACAAATCCACATTTTGAGGGAGAGGGGGGGGGGCAGTTGAAAGTAATTTTTAGCTTAACTGATTCTTTTTCCACGGTTACAAATCAAAAAATGCGAAAAAATATTACGAACGTTAAAATTGAGTATGACGTATACATTCGCCGTTGAATCTTACGAAAGAGTAGAACTTCAAACTTTATTTGGCCTGACCTTTTTCGGCTGGAGTAGATCCATTTGCTCTTATAAATATAACTACATTGACATCCTCATGAGCTATGCAAACAAGAGAGAACTTTTCTTTCATAATAGAAAGAAGGGGGGGGGGGAGTATCCCTTTCAAGGCAAATCTAACTTGAGCAAGTCTTCAGAGGGTCTTCATGAAAATTTTCCGAGCGTCTCCTACTTCTCGAGCTGTTTAATTCCACCGCTAAATTTAAAACAAAAAGGCAGTGGCGCGGCGTGCCTTGCGATATATCGATTGATCCGCCGTGTAAACCAATGGAAAAGGATCGATAAACAGGGTAAACCTTGATAATCGATTCTTTACCACAGCTTCAAATGGAGAAACATCGATAATGGACCATTCACGCCTCGCCACTGTTCTCGAGGATTGCATAATTCACCGGCATTGATTCGACCTGATTTCGTGACTAATCTTCAGAGGGCGGGAATTTTCTACTCATAAAAGTTTGATTTACATCAGGTGCAAAAAGTTAAGTGAAATAGGAAGCCACGATTCGCAACTGGAAGTACTCCTTAACTCGGAGTTTGGAAGTTATAAGTTGACGGGCGGTTTTGATCTCGGCGCGGGGAGGACTCGGCGGTCGCGTCCGCAGTTCCCCGGCATTTGCGGCCCGGTGTTTATTTTTCATCATCCCTTTATGGTGAGTGGGCGTGGGAAATGCAGTTCCCACGCCGCCGTAAATACTATCCTTTCTTCCGCCCGCAAGCCACTTCGTGATCCCTCATAAAATATTTTCTCCGTCAATAGTCAGAGTTTTCATTCATGCTCCAAGTCGGGAAACACGCGGAGTCCCTTTATTGAGACAACGCGGCTGCAGCTTGCGAATTTCACAAACGGGAATAAAGATTACACAAATCGGACGTTTGCTGTAATCTTTGATCAACCCATTCCCGAATTCCTGTCTCTGTTCCCACTCTCATTTCATTTGTTCCTTGCTTTACCTCCGATCCCCCGGTCTATTCCAGTTTATAGTTTTTGCAATCGGTGAAACTGTAATCTTTATTCCCGTTTATGACACTGTGAGGGCCTAAAATACGGGAACCAATCAGAAATGGATTCGCATTGTCTTTACTCTCAGTATAAGGGACTCTAGAAACACGCATCTACGTCACTATGTTGCAAAATTGCTCCTGATATTGTCTTCCCCTCCCATATCGATTGTCACCTTGTCAAAACAAGTGTTTTCATTGCGGTTTCTCACAATTTCCGTTCCTCTTTTATTATTGCGACGAGTGAGAAGCCAACTCTACGCCTTGAAATATACACGGAATAGTCTACTTACAGGGAAGAGTATTGAGAGTACAATTTTTAAGAAATTACATTGACTTGTTGTTCAAAGAGAAAATAGAGTATGACAAGAAGTCTACGATGTCGCGAACGAAAATAAGTGCTTTCTTACTACGACCACCAAAATGTGAAACCACGTATCTCCAGCATTTTATAAGTTCTCGCCTACTGTTTTTACACCCAGAATGTTAAATCAACTTCGCTTTTTTTCGGTGAAACCAACCCCTCTACTACGAGATAGCGCTTACGTGTTTTGTAAAATAATCGGTTCAATCGATGTTTCTGCGAAATGGAACGTGCGACGAAGAGAAAAGGGTGAAGGCGCAGGGGTGACTGCCGCTCGCGGGGACGATACGGGACCCAGAAATTAGAAAAGCTAATTTGGACGGGGCAATTTTTTACCGGGCGCCAGCGAATAATCGTTCGCGGATCGGCTCATTCCACCGCTCCTCTGACATTACCTAAAAGCCTATCTGGATTTCTTCATGGGCCGCAGAAAGCATGGATTTATTTGTAAAACAAGGCTCACTTTGAAATTGAGATACGTTATAGGGGCGAGGATTCGTTAGGCTGGGGCGGTATAGGGGTATTCGGAATAGGTATTGAGGCTCGAACCGGGTGTTGATCCCCAAGTCGATCCCGATCCTGGGGATTCAGGGACCTTGAATAGCAATGAGCGCGGAAAAAGGCCCTTGCCACCCCCCCACCCCCCCGCGACTGTATTCAATTTATAGGCAAACCCGCTCTCGCAACACTCACTATATATGCCATAACTGCTGCGCCGTGACGAATCTAGAGGGTTGGATACGGGGGGAAAATTCATTTTTAAAATCCGCTGTTGGCTCTATAATGGGCCTCTGGACAAGGCATGAATTACGATGGCGTGGCGTGCTTTGTCATACATCGATTGATCTGCCATTTAAACCTAAGGAAAAGGATCAGTAAACAGGGTGTTCGCGACGAACACCTACATAATCGATTCTTTACCACAGCTTCAAATGAGGAAAAATTGATAATCGATCATTCACGCCTCGCCACTGAAAAGCACTGCGTAACACGTTTTCTTTTCAAGATTTCTCGAGGATACAGAGTTACAAATCGGAAAGTCGAAAGATCAACTCCTAAACTACGCAGGTGCTTATAATTTATTAGCATTGGTTAAATGGCAAAAGTACAAATGACACAATTTTTATGATTTATCTTACATTTAATCAGTGTTAAAAACACTTCTTAAAATCTCGTTTAGTGGTTAATTTTCTATGTTAAATTCGATTCAGTGGTCGACCTGAGTAGGTACCGTGTGTCGAATGCGAGGTGCTTTCCCAAAAAGAATCCTGATTTCAGTTCCCAGAGTGATGCCAATTTTTTTCTTGAGAATGCTTTTTGAAGCACTGGCTACCGTCTTTTTTCGGCTAAAATTCAAAATTTGCCGATTTATGAATAAATCGATGCGATATACCGCGCCCCAGTTTGGCCACGCCTATGACTCCGGAACGAATCGCTTTTAGGACTTCCAATGCTAACCTGAGGACGGCCGATCATCCGTCGTGCTTTCAAGTGGATAAACTTATTTGGCATGGACTGAATCAGTTTATGATTTTAGAAACGAAACTTATGATGAATGTTCAAAAATATGCATTTAATGAACTGCATCTCTCTAAACAAAGCGGGTTTACTTCATACACTGAAAAAAAAAGATTGGTAGAATTTACCATTCCTTCACGCTGTATTTCACACAGCGTCAATTTAGAGTCAATTCTGCCAGAAGAGAGGTAAACGTTATATACTGGTACAGGTAACCATTCCTCTGGCAGAATCGACTTGAAGATTGATACCTAGAATTTACCATTCCTTCACGCTGTGTGAAATACAGCGTGAAGGAATGGTAAATTCTACCAATCTTTTTTTCAGTGTGTAAACTGAGTTTTGAAAAAGCATATTAGGATTATTGGTTTTTCTTTCGTTCTCGTTTTGCAATATGAACGAGACTTCACATATCAAAATTGAAAGGCGGGCTGGAGGCTCGCATCAAATTCTCACGAAAAACTCGTGGGATCTGAAGGAAAGCAGGGGGATTTGAGAGTCACCATTTCATTTGTTTGTATTCCTGGAAGCTTTGTCATTATTTTCCGGGTGGCGCGGATTCCTCCCCGGATTCCAAGCTTTAAACTGGATTCCGAAGCTTGAGAGAGGCTCAAATTCGACTTCTACTTATCACACGAATTCTTGAGTTATAACACGAGTTCTAATTTATTTTTTCTTTTCTCTTGAGATCAAAAGCATTCTTGGCCGATGAGTTATTTTACAATCATCTACGTAAAGCAAAGGTTTCAAAAAAGAAGGATTTTGAGCTAGGGAATAGAATTTTTGAGAGAGGCTAGACGTCCTCGTGAAAAATTTTAAAAAATGTGAGACGTAGTACTTTTCCTCATTTGCTCAGAAACGCAATACTTTATTCCTGAAAGTCTTGCGGCTGCAAACAGGATGACAATGGATCAAAAAATCGGTGCGATTATTTTATCGTTAGCTCAAAGCGAATTCATTTAAATTAAGTCGTGAACATTGCGTCGTTAGAAAATCAATTTTATGCGCATATACGGAACGTGCAGTGTACATGGGTGGCATTATCCGTGAGGAAAAGCATAAGAGCATCTCAGAGAGTATCACGGAACTTCCAAAGGACATTTTTGAAAATTAAGACATGAGAGGTCTTAAGAGTAATTCTGATTGAAATACAGTTTCAAATATGACAGAGATTTCTCGTACTTATTTCGCAAAATCTTGTACATTTTTCAGTAGGCACTGAATAAATCTCGAGGNGGGGGGGGGGGGGGCTTAGAAAGTAACGAAAAAACTGCCCAACGACTCAATAATAATTCAGTAATGAGATGATAAAAATTGAACTGCACCGGTGAAGAATGGATATTTATGGAATCAAGCTGCTTCAACTATAGAATCGATTATTTCAGATGGATTTAAAAGCAGATAAGCCTGTATCACACTATCAAAGCTAGCCATAAAAATATCAAGGTCAGGTGTTATGATTGGCTTATTCGATGACTTGGACCAATCACAGCACTTGGCCTTGACATTTTGATGGTGTGACACAGGCTATAAAGCAGTGTTGCCAAATTGTTACAATCAACTGTGTTTGTTGCAGGAGTCCATATTATCCTCGAACTTGGAATATTACGCAAGTCCTAAATTGCACGAATCCCACATTATCCGAAAGCATTACGTGGTTAACTAAAGCACGGTGAAAAAAAAAGTGTAGTATGGTACTCATTTGAGCTCAATGTTTTTTACTCTAATTAAAATTCTTGGCTTTGGTTTCTCCGGAAAATGGTGTGAACCCAGCACCATTTTACCACCTTATTACTAAAGCACAGTGTCTCATGTAAGTGTATTTTTTGTTCCAGGTGAAACAGATGATGGAAGAGGCTGTAACAAAGAAGTACGTTCATGAAGAAAGTAGTTCCATTACCTCATTATGTGGTGAGACTTTACTCTTTGCTTAAAAGAGCTTGTCAGTCCAATTTTTCAATACCTTTAATTTATTTAATTTATTTTCCAAACTAAGGACAAGAAGGGAAAAGAAAAAAAGGCACGAATTTACTCACTAAACGCAAACTTCAGAGAGTACTCCATCGCAAAGCACGTTATTAATTATTAATTATTTATGAATTTATTGTTTAATTATTAGTGCTTGATTTGACTTTAACAGACTTTGGTTCTTTACTAAGCGAGAAATTTGATTTGACGAACAGAGAAAATGCTAATTTCTCACTTATGGCTTGGATGTGAAACTTGTTTATGTGTCTTCGTGGGCGGAACCAGGCATTTTTTGAAGGGGGTACCTCATAAAGGGGGGTCTGGGGGGGCAGGGAAAAGCAAAGATGAAAAAGGATGGGGGGCAATTTCTTATACCAAAGATAAATTCTATCCAAGCGATTTTGCTCCTTTGAGCGACGATCGTTTCGGAAACTGATCATCAGGCGCTGTGCGAGCAACTATTTTAACTCTCCCGAGCGCGTAATGCCTATCCGCCTAATTGAAGGCACTTCGTTGCGCTGCGTCTATGTGCGTTCATCTGACTCGGACTTATGCTAAGATCAGTTAGTAGTCTAACTGATCTCAGCACAAGCACAAGCGATGAGTGTAAATTATTGTTATTACTCATCGTAAAATGCTACATTTTACGATATGGATCAATATCTTTTGATCATTATTTTAAAATAAAAATATGCCCACTTTATTTACCAATGTGGGTGGGTGTTTTATGGATCAACCAGGCATGATGATTCCTCACTGCAAAATGAAGCCGAGCTAACCTTTAATTATAACATCTCGTTATTCTGGCTTTAGGTTCTACAATTATTTTTTATCGTGTCGTATTCTACATTAGAAACCATCCATTAACTTTTTTCAACTTGGTAAATTAAAGCTACTCGAAAAATGGCTCCGATAGAAAGATTCTCTATGAAATTTGTTAGTTCGAAAGATTCAGAGGTTGAAGATTCTGGTCGAAGTAAATCACTTAAATCAGTGTCCTCTCTTCACAATGACAAAAGGAGCAAACTTTTCTATATCGATGAAAAACTAATTACCGAACTCCTCCAATCGTAATACCCGATTACCTTTGCCATTCAATCGTTTAAGGCTAAAGAAAACAAACGAGCTTTAAATTGAGGCAAAAAGGAAGAAGAAAAGGAGATAACAAATTGACTGACAGGATCACACACGTACATTTCAGTCGTCGGAATTGATAAATGAGCATCCTTTATAAAAAAGAAAGAACGAAATAAAATCCAATGAGAATTCACATAATTTTGAGTGTAAATTTGGACGAATATCTGTGCCTTTTTTACGCCGAAAATGACTCTTAGAACAGTTATGTATATGTATTTCTCAAAAAATATACGTCGGAACTTCTTTCCTGATAGAATAACTTTGAAGATGAGTTTACTAGCGAGTTCTCCTCCTTCAACAATCGACGCGTATCATATTTTTTAGGAGGCAATCAAAAAAAAAATAACATTAATTCAGTTTGGTGAGAGACGAACCGCATTTTCCGGTTATTGACAGCGGTGGAAATTTACCCAAATTTGGCTTTTTGCTACGGAGAACTAATATTTCGGACACACTATAGCAACGACACACGAATAAGCCTTTAATTACCTCATGCAGAGAGGTAATTTTACTCCTTTTATAAATGGGCCGGAAATAGTGGCTTCTTATTCCAAAATGTAGTCCAGTTAACAATACTGGGTTTTGTCCGTTTGAACCAATGCAAAACAATCGGTTTTTATCGGATAGAAAGTTGATTATCAAGGATTTGAATGGAGGAAAACAGCGTTACAGTGGCGTGGCGTGCTTTGCGACTTATCGATCGTTCTGCCATTAAAACCTATGAAAAGAATCGATGAACAGGGTCTTCGCAACGAACACATTAATAATCAATTCTTTACCCTAGCTTCAAAAACGGATCCATCGATTATCGATCATCCACATCTCGCGGCGCCACTGTTGCCAATTTGCGCGTATCGTCACTGGCTTGCGCAAGGCCAAGTGTAGTGGCTTTTGCCATCATTCACGAATCTGAGAGAGAGGAAAAGGCATCCTTCGCGGGGACTTTACATGAAGAAGCAGTAATCCAACTTTACTTTAAGGAGCGGCTAAAGTTTTCCGTCGACCGCATTGTCATTTTTCAGCTCCACAGAGACCAGGGGTAACGTAAAATAACTTGTGCTTACAGTCGCAAAGAGTCTGATAAACCGAATTAAGCCCGCGTATAACTCTCGCATTAAGATTCCCAGAATAGACCCTCACGAACCGCGTGAGGGTTTTTTGTGACAGTGTTGCCACGCGGTGCAAGCTTTTTCTTCAATTTTTCCTTCGGGATGCAGCTTAATGTTTCCAGCAAATTTTGCCACCTTGTTCTTTGGGTGACAGGATTTACTATCGGGGTCAAGTTTTTAGATTTGTAAATGAAAGGCATCACGGTTTAAGGAGTTATAAATGACTTTTTTAACAAAAACTAAGGTGTTTGTCTCTTCGCATATACCCGGACAAGTTCTGTGAGAGATTGGACTCAAAAACTCATTTTCTTCACCTGGATAATTGGACGGAGTTAAACAGAAAGGAACCAAGCCACATCGGGATCGAAGCGAGAAAATGAGGTTTAAAGTTTGGCTCCTGCATAAGACTCAATGTTAAAGATAAACTTCAAGTTCAATTTCTGCAAAATGTTCTCCAACAAAAACCTAGAATTTTTGGCGATAGATAGTAGAGCAGTGGTTGAGTTCAAAACCACTCATAACTCAATTTTTTCCAAAATGTGGGTTGGTTCCTTTCTGCTTAACTCAGTCCAATTTTCTTTTACCTCAGTGCCATCATTTAGTACCATCGTTTGTTTCTTATTTTTACGTAAATTAAGAATTTTGAAGTTATGTAATAAGAAGAGAGAGGGTGACAGAAAGAGAGAGAACAAAAGCAGGAGTGAAGGAATAGTGGTCTTTCTTAGCGCGAGACTGAGTCAAACCAGTTTACATTGCGCGGACGAGAAACGACGGAGCGCCTTCATCTATTTAGGTAGGCAATTTGAGCTCCGCAGAGTTAAAATAGTTGCTCAGCTAACGAGAAGGCGCTTGCAACGCGTACTAAGCGTCAAATCGTGACTTCAGTTAAACAAGGATACCAGTTGGTCGCTTTTAAAAGTTACTTCAGACTTTTCATGCACGATGTTACAAGCGTAAGCTTGAAAAATCATGCCTTTTTTCATTTTCAACCAAATGAATTGGTCTCTAAAATAGAGAGAAATAGAAATAAATAAAAAAAGATGGGTCATTTTCGAACAAAACCAAATCCGCCCATAATTATACCTTGATAAAAAAAAAATCTCGTCTGTGGAGGCCGTTCTTGCGGACTGTACAGACATACCGTCCGCATCCGCGTTCCGGGCTCCGAGGCCGAAAGTTCCGTGTGTGGCAGCCGCAGTAGTTGAAGCTACGGCTCCAACACCCGGAACTTTTGGTCCCTGAGCCTGGAGCGGACAATATGTCTATATAGCTCTTAACTTCTTCTCCAGTGTCTGAGAGGTCCAGAAAGAGAGAGGGAGAGAGGGGGGAGGAAGGGAGACAGAGAGGGATAGAAAATGAAAGTGGCAACGGATCGGGTGTTCGGGGCTTAAACTGGGTTCCGATAATCGAGGTTTAAGAGGGGAACACCTCCGCGTTAGCCTGGGGCTTTAATTGAAGGCGAAGGGGGGAGGGGGAGGGGGAGGGGGCGGTGCTTTAATCCCTGTGGAGCGCCGCCGTTTGGACTTGGGGAATCCGACACTTTTCCGCCGTCATTTCAATACCTCCCTCGCCTGCGTGGCATTTTTCAACGGACAAATATCGATATTTACAAATTAAGTTGCGGTTTTTCGGCGATAGAATCGCTACCATCATCATCATTTAAGCGATTATCCTCGATCTGCGGGCTGATTGTTGAAGTTAATAGACAAAGCGATAGATATAAGAGACGGAGGAAAAATGAAGCGATCCTACTGGTTAACATGGGTGGTTGGTGTGGACACAGGAGGTAAGTAATAGACTAGCAAACGGGAACCCACGAGGGGCCTGACAGTTATAGTCCGTCATTTTACCCTAAGTCTATGAGAAGCACTCGTCTCAACCAATAGGATAGTTTCATACTCCCTATGTCTTCTTTGTCTATCGCTTGGTTTATCGATCAATAATCAGTCCCCTGATCGCAATTTTATCTCATGTAAAATCGCGTTCGATAAAATCGAAATTTTATTTCAATTTATCACAATTTTTTGATCGGCAATACTGAGATAAATCGCCGTCGATAATATCGCGATTTTTTTTGCAAATGTATACGATGAAGTCGCAATTGATCGCAAGTTTTTTATACAATAATATGGCAATAAATTGACATCGATAAAATTGTGATACATTCTCCGATCGAATCGCAACTCATCACGATTACTGCTACTTGAGTTGGCAGGGCACCCGTCCTCCGTCCAAAAAGCGACAAGTAGTGAGGCCCGAACCTGAGTCATAGAATGGACCACTAGACAAGCCACGAATTTTAGCATTGGCACACATGTTCCCTGACCAACATTTTACGTAAACACATTTCGCCCGGCAAAACTTACTGAAATCAAGGGTTTCCGAGGTACGCATTTTCGCAGTTTCGCCATAAACGCTGCGCGACAAAAAACCTTCAATGGTTGGACAGGTAATTCGCGCTCATAAGAGTGAAAATAGTTGCTCGCATAGCGTCAGACGGTCCGTTCCAGAAACGATCATCGTTTTGGTCGCTAAAAGGAGAATGCCTGGAAGAAAGACCAGTATGCTGCGCGACAAAACGCCTTCAATTAGTCGGATAGGCGATTTGCGCTCGGGAGAGTTAAAATAGTTGCTCGTGTAGCGCCTGATCGTGAGTTGCCGAAACATGATCGTTGGAAGTTGAGGCGCTTGCGGGCG